TTTATTTGGAAAGAAAAGGTTTGATTCATCAGCAAAAGTGAGAAAAGACAGAATATTCGAACAATCCTTGAGTCGTTGATAACAACTTTTATCATCACATTTTATATATTTGGAATTTTAAAAAAAATCTCCCCCCCCCCCGCCCATTCAGCGGTTGGCTGAGTCGTTGAGAATTTTTCTGCCCGATTAAAAAATGTTAACCCCCCCCCCCCCCCTTTGAAAAAAATCCTGCGTACGCTACTGTGTGTTGATATAAGTGAATCAGATCAGGACTCTCAATCATAACCTTCAACACCCAAGCAACCTTCACAAGCTATAGTGTCTTCAATCTTAATGTAATTCATTGTATCAAACTGTGCAGTGCAGGCGCGGATCCAGGATTTCTTAGGGGGGGGGGGGGGGGCCAAATTTGAAATTATGCGAGCCAAATATTGGTACGTTATGGTGACCAACAGTGACGTAATGGGGGGGGGGGGGCGAGTTTCCCCCTCCCAGGCTTTGACGTTTCATTATATTATTAGAGAAAGAATACGATTTGTTGTACCGTTCTCTAAAATAATTCTCGTCTGAATTTAGTTTTTCTCCTCCCGCGCGAAGCGCGGAAAATTTTACGATTTATTAAATTATTAGAGAAAGAAGACGATTCGTTGTACAGTTCTCGACTCTTAATCCTCGTCTAAATTCAGTCCCCCCCCCCTCCCCCTCCTGCGCGAAGCGCGGAAGCTTTGACGTTTTATTAAACTATTAAAGAAAGAAGACGATTCGTTGTACCGTTCTCGACCCTTTATCCTCGTCTGATTTCAGTTCCCCCCCTCCCGTGCGAAGCGCGGAAGCTTTTACGTTTCATTAAATCATTAGAGAAAGAAAACGATTCGTTGTACAGTTCTCGACTCTTAATCCTTGTCTGAATTCAGTTCCCTCCCCCTCCTGCGCGAAGCGCGGAAGCTTTGACGTTTTATTAAACTATTAAAGAAAGAAGACGATTCGTTGTACCGTTCTCGACCCTTTATCCTCGTCTGATTTCAGTTCCCCCCTCCCGTGCGAAGCGCGGAAGCTTTTACCTTTCATTAAATCATTAGATAAAGAAGACGATTCGTTGTACTGTTCTCGACTCTTAATCCTTGTCTGAATTCAGTTCCTCCCCTCCCCCTCCTGCGCGAAGCGCGGAAGCTTTGAAGTTTTATTAAACTATTAAAGAAAGAAGACGATTCGTTGTACCGTTCTCGACTCTTAATCCTCGTCTAAAATCAGTCCCCCCCTCCTCCTACTGCGCGAAGCGCGGAAGCTTCTACGTTTCATTAAATCATTAGAGAAAGAAGACGATTCGTTGTACCGTTCTCGACCCTTTATCCTCGTCTGATTTCAGTTCCCCCCCCCCCTCCCGTGCGAAGCGCGGAAGGTTTTACGTTTCATTAAATCATTAGAGAAAGAAGACGATTCGTTGTACAGTTCTCGACTCCTAATCCTTGTCTAAATTTAGTTCCTCCCCCCTCCCCGTCCTGCGCGAAGCGCGGAAGCTTCTACGTTTCATTAAATCATTAGAGAAAGAAGAAGATTTGTTGTACAGTTCTCGACTCTTAATCCTCGTCTGAATTCAGGTTCCCCCCTCCCGCGCAAAGCGCGGAAGCTTTTAATCTTCATTTAATCATTAGAGAAGAAGACGATTCATTGTACCGTTCTCGAAAATAATCCTCATCGGAATTTAGTTCCCCCTCCATCCCGCGCGAAGCGCATAAGCTTTTACGTTTCATTATATAATTAAAGATTCGTATTACCGTTCTCGCCTCTGAATCCTCGTCTCAATTCAGTCCCCCCCCCCCCTCCTCCCCTCCTACGCGAGGCTTTGACATTTTATTATTAGAGAAAGAAAACGATGCGTTGTACCGTTCTCTATACTCTTAATCCTTGTCTGAATTTCAAAGAGGTGGGGTCGAGGCGGCGGAGCCGGCCTTGGAAGCTCAGGGGTTTTAGGCGTTTAATTAAGGTCAGATGAGCATATTTTTGTGTATACCTTATTATTTTGTGACACTGGCAAGTCATATTTGGCGTGGGGTCCAGGGGGCGGAGCCCAACAAAATTAGGGGTTTTAGGCATTAAATTACCGTCAGATGATCATCTAAGGGCCCGCCGTAGGGCCCTAGATGGAATCCAGGGGACAAAGCCCCCGGAAGCTTAGGGGTTTTAGGCATTTAATCACGGTCAGATGAGCATATTTTGATGCCTCGAGGCTCTCGATCCCCGCCGTACCTTGGGCCCTGACATGTAGGAATCTCAAGAATCATATTTTTTGCCTGGTTGTAAATTTAGGAATTTTTTTATTTTCCAACAAACACATACAAACGTATAATTTACTAAAAAGTGAGGAAAAATTTCGGAAATTATGTCATTTCAGCATTATTTTTGTAATACACCGTTGTGGAATCAGAAATAAACCACGTTTGAATTTGATTTCCCCCAAGCCCCCCCCCCCCCTCTATCAGTACGCCAGTATCTCCTCTTTTCCTTTTTTTTCTTTCCCTTTCCTTCCTTCTCTCTTATTTTTTTTTGATTGGGGGGGGGGGGGTTAACAGCCTGGGAGGCAAGGCCCTTTCGGCCCCCCCCCCCGATCTCCTTCTTCCCCCTTTACTTTTCTTCTTCCTCCTCTTTCTTTCCCTTTTTCTCCTTTTTCCCTTTCTCCCTTCTTTTCCTTCTTCTCTTTTTTTTTTTTTTTTTTTTTTGCGGGGGGGGGGCCAAGGCCCGCTTGGCCCCCCCCCCTGGATCTGCGCCTGGTGCAGTGTAATCGGCCGTGGCATACAAGCAACTAGCTGTAAGCACTTTCTTTAAGGGAGTTTACAGATAGCAATGACCCCAAATATCCACAGATCTTTTACACATGAAGAAGTTCCACTTTGAGCATCTTGGAATAATAACTGCCAAAGTCCTAGATGTGCTTCATGAATACCTTTTGTTTGACCTCTTGAAAAGAATACTTCCACCTGCGTATCATATAATGTACCGTTGAAGCATAAATGAATAATGTTACATAACTTTCATGAGCGCATATCCAGTATTCATCTCTGTGGGTTTTACCATTTGGGTACAAATGACCTATATCTGCCCATGCGCAGATTGTATCTGTAAACTCCCTTATTGCCCAAACCGTGTGTCCAATAAGGACTTTCCTGTTCCACCCTCAATCAAAGCGTATGGACAAATAGGATCGTCGACATAGCTATTGCAGCATCTCTTTTGCCCACACCTTTCGGCATCACCTTAACTTAACAAGCGGTGCTTCAATCAAGGTCTCCTCGTCTTTCTTTATTCTACATTGTAACGTCGATCTGGCGCTGCTCAGTGGCTGCCGGGCTCACGATCAATTGGGCAAAACATTTTCCATTTTCGGTTTAACTTAATAAAACAAATTTGGAGTGGGCTTTAAAAAAGATTATTATTATTATGATTATACTCTATTACATTTTGTTACATGTGATTTTCAGAAGACAAATAAACTTGCTACTTGATACTTGATACCAACTTATCTCCGTCTTCTGCGTGATCCTCTATTTTTTCGCGACTCAGGTCATTTCATCAACTTCAGCGAAGAAGCATTTTTTGCCTCGCATTTAGCGAACTGAGAATATTTCTACATCGCTTATAAATCGCCGTGACTTGCTTTTAACAACGTCTTTTGTAGATTTATCAGCGGTTTTTCTCAACTCGCTCAGTTCTCTTTCCACATCGCCAGAGGCGGCCACCTTTTTTTTCTCGCTGTATTGTTTACTTCTTGAGCCGAGGCCTCCGGTATATCAATAACGATTTTTATACAGCGTGCATATACTATTTTGGACTCCATTTCGTCTAGCGATTTTTACTTCATCAAAGACCGACTGATCGGATATTAAGAATTTAGAAGTCAGATAATCCGCTAGGAATTTTGTATAAGATTGCCCGGGGACTTTAATCAACTTTCAAACACTTCAGCTGTGGGAGTCAGATTATGCTACCGTCGGATTGATATGTAGCCTGCCTGCAACGCTGATGTACCTATTATGTAAGTGAAAACGTGATATATACAAACTATCGGTAGTAATATTAGTAGTGGTAGAAGTAGTTAGCGGTATATGTAGTAGTAATGATGATATTATTATTTTCTTGTAATGACGATGATGATCATCTTCACAATAATAATGATAGCAATAATATTAATGATAACTATACTAAACAGATGATGATAACAATGACAGTGACAGTTATCGATGATAATGATAACCATCATCATAATCATCACTGGTGAACATCAACGGTAGCATCATAGTACTAGTTGATGTTGTATAGAAGTAAGTAGTAGTAGTAGTAGTAATAGTAGTAGTATTAGAAGAAGTAGTAGTAGTAATATTAGTGGTAGTAGAAGTGGTAGTAGTAGTAGTAGTAGTAGTAGTAGTAGTAGAAGTAGTAGTAGTAGTAATATTAGTGGTAGTAGAGGTGGTAGTAGTAGTAGTAGTAGTAGTAGTAGTAGTAGTAAAAGTTGAAGTAGTAGTAGTAGTAGTAGTAGTAGTAGTAGTTTAAATAGTATTTGTTGTTCTTGCTGTTGTTTAGTAGTAGTTACTGTTGTTGCTGTTCTTTTTGTGCATAACCAGTGGGCCTGTTTTAATGATTTAGGATTGTATTTTTGTAATTCGATGACTACATGGCACCCACTAACTTTACTTTGATAATTAGTGGCAATTAACTGGCAAATGTTGATTGATATCTTGCCATTGGAAATTACTAAATATTAGGAGAAATTAAAGACATCATCATCATAATCATCATCAATCGTACAGCTCGGTGGGGGGTCTCCTCATATTCGGGCAGCAATCTGTTTTAATCGTATTTTCTTTTTTAGTATAATTCTGACATTAAGATGATGGGGAAATTTCTTGAAGGCTTCAGATAAGTGTTTACGTTACACACAATCCCCTATCTCATGTGTTTTATTCTTTAATTTTAATGTCTTTTTTCATTGTTTGTCAATATCTTAGGTCCATTTGTAACACTTGTTCTGCCGGGGACCAACCATCGTGTTGTTGCTATGTCAGGTGGATTGTTGTGTGGATCATGTATTATTGCCTGCGCTTTCTGCAACAACGCAGTTTCTGTAGGAGTTTGTCTCGCATTATCGGGTTAGCTAAATATCTTGTTGCTTACCTTTGTAATTAATTATTTTATTCTACTGCTCATTCTGTGAGTCTGTACCTACATGCTGGTAGGTGTACATAGTTAAACATTCAAAAAGTTTCACTTGGGCTCAACATGGCGTCCATCCTTTTGTCTTGTGGTTGCCCCCAAAAAGTAGAATTTGCCATATTGTGATCAACTCGAACCGAGTTGGCTGAACTCTCTTAAGCACGACACGATGCACCGAAGTGTTGGCTCAGTCAGTAGAGCGTCTGCCTCACAACCGGGAGGTCGTGGGTTCGAACCCCGGCCGCGTCATACCAAAAGACGTTAAAAGATGGGAGTTGTTGCTACCTTGTTTGGCGTTCAACAATAAGGGTTAGAGCAACGTCGATCTGGCGCTGCTCAGTGGCTGCCGGGCTCACGATCAATTGGGCAAAAGAATTTCCGTTTCGGTTTAATGAAATTTGGAGTGGACTATTAGGCTATTATTATTATTATTATTATTATTATTATTATTATTATGACTCAGGGAAAAAAGAAGAAAAATATAGATTTTTGTCGGAAACGCAATAGTCGCTAGCAAATTTTTCTTGACAAAACCTATATAGTCCATATCTGATCTTATCATGATAATTGTTATCACCACTATTATTGTTTTAGATATTATCTATATTAGTATTATTAGTATTAGTACTATCAATACTAGTAGTACATATGCAGTAAGTAAGTAGTATTAGTATTATTGGTAGTAGTTGATGTAGTTGTATTATTTGCAAGACAAAACTCTCGGGAGCAGCATTGAATGTCAACTGGACAGACCATAAGACAAATATATACAGTTGTAGAGAGATAGTATACCAATCCAAGTCAGACAGAGAACACCGCCTCTTTTCAGCTGTCATTGCCAGAGGAACTAGGGGAGGGGTGTTTCACAAAGATTCTAAGTTTAACTTATCTCTAAGTTGGACTTAACTATTATGGAAAGCCGTTAGCATCCTTGAAAATATATTTTTTAAAAGTTATTCTAAAAGGCATGATTCAAATCATTCATATTTTCGATTATGATTGAGATGTTATGTTCTTAATGTGGAATTTATGAAAAGTCTAAAATACTTGAATTTTATATACTTTTGAATAAACTTTATTATAAGGTTACAAATAGCCTCTATAATGTTTAATTCCAACCTAGAGTAAAGTTTGACTTAAGATCTTTGTGAAACACCCCCAAGGGTAAATTAATTCAAAAAAAGGTAGGCTACAAGGGAAAACGTGCTAGAGGTCGTTCAGCCGTTGGAAAAAACAAACTTGTCTACCTAGGCACTCCCAAAGATATTGGAGAATAATTGAATAAGGGAGTTTACAGATACAATCTGCGCATGGGCAGATAAAGGTCATTTGTACCAAAAAGGTAAAACCCACAGAGATGAATACTGGATATGCGCTCATGAAAGTTATGTAACATTATTCATTTATGCACCAACGGTACATTCTATGATACGTTAGTGGAAGTATTCTTTTCAAGAGGGCAAACAAAAGGTATTCATGAAGCACATCTCACTATGAATATGACTGACAAAGAAAGCGGAAAAAATATACAGTTCCTCAGGTAGACAAACGAACATCCCTTCACTGCTATTATGTAAAAATTTGTAGAACAGGTGTCACATGCATATTCATCTTTTTACATAATAGCAGTGACGGGATGTTCCTTTGTCTACCTGAGGAACTGTATATTTTGTCCGCTTTCTTTGTCCGTTATATTCATAGTGTCTAGGAATTTGGCAGTTATTATTCTAATATGCTCAAAGTGGAACTTCTCCATGTGTATAGATCTGTGGATATTTGACGTCATTTGTAACCATTTGCTATCTGTAAACTCCCTTATTGGATAATAATTTTCAAATCATTGCGAGGACGCTCAACCTACAATTAGTAGTATCATTATCATAAGTAGTAGGCCTAATGCTTTGTTATTCTCATCATTACATTTTTGTTGGCAGGTGTTGGCTTGTCAATGACCTACATGCCCGTCGTCATTGCATTGAATGATTTCTTCAAAGGACAATTCGTTTTGGTGAATACAATAGCGTCATACGGCTTCATCGCCGGGTCCATGGTGCTCCCTGTTATCATGGAAAGGTCATTCGAAGCGTATGGCTATGCAGGGGCGTTTGTTATCCTTGGAGGTATCGCTCTTAACCTTGTCGTGTGCGGTGCAACGATACGAAACGCACCATCCAACGCCGCTACCAATGAAGGTGAAAGTCACGATAAAGTGAATCAAGAATCATCAGAGCAAATAGAAGGCATCCACTATGAAGATGAGGATAATAAAGAGGAAGAAAAGGAGGAACATAATGCGAAGAAAGAGAACGAGGAGAAGGACGATAGTGAAGATTGCGTTTCGGAGCAACAAAGTTTGATTCCAGCCGAAAGACGTACCATAAGCATGCAGGAAACATTACAAAATACACGCTCATCATGGACAAGTTCCGTCTTTCAAACCTGCAAACAGTCTTGTGGATTAATCAACGAACCACTTTTTCTCTTTGCTCTCCCGAATCCTTTCTTGGTATATTACACCATTTATGCATGGATGCTATTTCTAGTGCCCCATGCTGAACACCTGAACATTCCTCCTTCCAAAGCAATCTTCCTCTCCACAATCGGCGGCATAGGTGGCATCATCGGACAGACCATCTTCATTATCCTCGTCAGCAAAGGCATCAATGCATTTGTCTTGTACATCGCTATAGGTGTGATCTGCACGCGATCATTTCTGTTAGACTCCATCAGTTCTGCTTATGTGGTGCGTGCTTCCTTCGCTTTTGTCCAAGGGTTCTCCTTCTTCGTCGATGATGCTATCATGTCCAGTCTGTGCAAGGATGCAGTCTTTGACGAAAGGAATTTTAATATGGCCCAGGCTCTCTGTAATTTCATGGGAGGATTAGGGGTGACATGTGCAGGAACGTTCACAGGTTCGTAATTTATAGCCCAATCTTTCATTTGAAACACGATCTCAAGAACATTTGTGAAATCAACATATGGACAATAGCCCATTACAATAAGCGAGTTCGTAATTAGGATTTGCGCAATTGCAGATAAAGGTCATTCGTTACTAAATTGTAAAACCATTGAGACGAATACTCGGATCGTGCTCATGAAAGTTATGTAATCAGTATTCATTTATGCACCAACAGTACATTTATCTGATACACAAGTATTCTTCTCAAGAGGTAAACAAAAGGTATTCATGAAGTACCTCCCACTATGAATATGATGGACAAAGAAAGCGGACAAAATATACAGTTCCTCAGGTAGACAAAGGAACACCCCCTCCACTGCTATTATGTACAAATGTGTAAAACAGGTGAATATGCATGTGACACCTGTTCTACACATTTGTACATAATAGCAGTGAAGGGATGTTCCTTTGTCTACCTGAGGAACTGTATATTTTGTCCGCTTTCTTTGTCCATCAAATTCATAGTGTCCATCACTTTGGCAGTGATTATTATAAAATGCACAGGTGGGAAGTATCCATCGTGTCTATGGATATTTTTGGGTCATTTGTACCATGTGCCATCTGTAAACAATATGAACATGACTGACAAAGAAAGCGGACAAAATATACAGTTCCTCAGGTAGACAAAGGAACATCCCTTCACTGCTATTATGTAAAAATGTGTAGAACAGGTGCCACATGCATATTCACCTGTTCTTCACATTTTTACATAATAGCAGTGAAGGGATGTTCCTTTGTCTACCTGAGGAACTGTTTATTTAGTCCACTTTCTTTGTCAGTCATATTCATAGTGAAACTCACTTATTATGTATCACCATCATGATTTTCTTCGAGTTATTGACTGATAAAAGGTCATCTGGCCCATTGCATCGCGCTACAACTTTTGTATGGACAGGACTATGGTTAGTCAGTTTTTTTCTAATCCAGACTGTATTTTGTCTTCATTTTTACAACTCGTGTTACCAATAGCAATCACCCCCATCTCTCATTCTTATTTCTTCTTAATCCCCTTCCTCTATGCCCCTCCCTTTTCATCCCTTCTCCGCTACTGCCTTTATAAGATCCCACCCCCTTCTCTGTCTTCCCTTCTTTAACCTTAATATAATCCGCTTTCCCATCGTTCGCTTTACCTTCCCCATCGAATCTACTACGCCCCTTCTTCCACTCAACTTCCCCAACCCTTTCTATTTGTCCTCTCCCTTTTCCTCTGACATTCCTTCTCACAGCTCCTCACATCTCTCTTTTTCTATCCTATTTTTTCTAATCCATCATGCCATCCTGCATTAATCTTTCTTGTACATGTTTAGGAATTATGTTATGTTCGTTATTTTGTTTGGCTAATATATATTTTCTAGCGGAAGGAAAAGCAAAACAGTTATGATGATGAGCATGGAAACAAATAAACAGGTTTTTTGATTAATAAACTGATCATTGTTGTATAATCTGACTTAGATACCAACTGCAGCTTTCCCGATATAAAAAGATAATGTATAGGCTTATTATGATACTTCTATGAGGAAATGGATTTTAAATTTGTAATTTGTCGATTATTAGGATGTCATCTTTTGTTCAAAGCAGTGTTATTAGACCTACCATTCGAACCTATACGTTTTGCGACCAAATATAACATTTATAAATTTAAGTTATAATAAAGTGAAGCAATAATTATATATACAGTGTCAAAAGTGTACGGTATATTATATCTGCTGCGTGAACGTTGATCGATTTGTTTTCATGCCGCAATTTTACTTGCAAATATAGGTTATGATCGAAACTGTACCTAAGTATGCTTTGCCATTTAACATTGCAAATCCCTGATAAATACTTTCAAATATGTTATGTTCATTTCCCAGGTTATGTGTTTGATGTCATCCATTCGTTCACGAAGGTGTTTATCATCATCGGCTTCATCCACGCCGCCATGGTCGTTCATATCTTCATCGTAGCGGTCCTCATCAAGAGACGACGACGACAAGATGTCAGCTTTCATTTCGACCACTGAGGGCTATTGGGATGGGGCAGACCGCTCTTTTGAAATGTTTCAGGGAGGTGCCCGTTAATATATATATATATCTTTTAATTCTAACCTCCCATGAGGATGTTTTATATTCACCGCTTCGCTTCGAGGTATAATTAAATACATTATTTAACCAAAACAGAAACAGAAAAACATAGTTTGACTATCTCACGAAAATGAAAGAAGAACAAAAAAATATACATAGAAAAATAAAAAAAAATAAATGTCGTAACACTTACATTGTATATTAATCTTCTAAAACACATTTACTACCCGCCAATTAAAAAACAATTTGCTCGTTGAATTATTCTTTAAAGTCACTTGCTTTTCAATATGAAAATTAAATTTTAATAAATGTTTAAAACATCTACACGATGTGTATGTGGATGTTTATAGTTCCTGTAGCTGTTATGATATACATATATTTTACATTAAGATTGAACAAAGGTTGTAAAACAAATTCGTGTCATTTCGTTTGTATCTCAATAATAAAGGCACAAAAATGAAAGTTATATAAGTACTGGTAATATATTTCTAACAGGCTTGAAACTCTGACCATTGTGGCCTTACATGCTCACACTACTCCAACATATGTTCCATTGTTTCAGGGAACTTTTCACAAAAAGTACATAGTTCTGAGTACCCCAATGTCATTCCCTGTAATATATAAATAGTTAATTCTCCACTTGAAATTTCTTCTTTTAATTTCACAAGTCGATATTAAAGGTAAGATATGTACATTTTCCTAATCATTATCTGTAATATCAATATTCATTGTAAATTTCTTTTGAGAAGTATTATGTATAAACATATCCAAATCTAGAAGTATAAGACCTATATTTGCTCATTTAAAACTTAGTTAAGAACAAATTGAAAAAAACTGAGAGAATTATTGCTTTTAAACGTAATTTGATAAAATTACATAGGAAAAAGTAAAATGTTTTGTGTCAAGAACTGTAAGGAAATTAATAAACATGTATTTCATAAAGGGTTTTAAGTAGCTAGGCACCATCTTTATACGACTGTTGATATAGTATTGTATTATTGTGTATGGTTGCTCACTTATAGATGTATGAGTTATTATTAGAAGTATATTTCTTTCCAAAGGTTGATTCATTGTTTACCTTTGCGGTAGATGAGAATTGTTGTTTTGTGATTTTATTGTGAAGAATGATGTACATGTATTAGAAATGGCAGTTATAAAAGAATAATAATTATTTAGAATATTGTTGATGTCATTATCCTAAATATGATGTTTCTTCATATCACTTCATCAGTTGTTCATTTAAAAACAATTTCCAGGTATTTCATCTATTATGACTTCCAAGACTTTGATGTTTTTTTCTCTCGCATATTTCTGGGAGAATGAATTGATAAGACAGCTAGGTGAACGGGAGTCCAGATTCTGCCTAGTCCTCTATAATTCCCCCAAACACTTGATTCAAGCCGCCGAAGATGGCGTTATCAACAAACTCCTAATTATGCTCACCAGCCTGCGCTGGCGGCGTATATTTTGTTTACACAACTGTTTAGCCACATCAGTCAAATATACTGTGCAAACGACTAGAGACAAAGTCTAGCATTACCCTAAGCAGTTTTGTTGGATTGCTGGAGCTGTACATGTGTACATACTCGTTATTTCGTCCTTGTTTTCACGAAGTGACGGTAGTGAGGAAAATCGTAACGCAAAGTGAATGCAATTGTTTTTTCACTTCGTGAAAACAGCGACGATTTGTTTCGGGTTAAATCTATCCTCTCTTCTCTTTCATTATGTATTTCTGTGTTCTCCTTCAATCTATCCTCTTCTCTTTTGTCATGTATTTCTTTCTTTTTTCTTCAATCTATCCTTTTTCTCCTTTGTTATATATTTCTGAGTCCTTCAACTAGTCCCCCAGTTCTCCTTCGTTATTGATGTATTTCTTTTATTCTCCTTTATTCTAACCTCTTCTCTTTGTTTTATGTATTTCTTTGTTTCTCCTTCAATCTATCCTTTTCTCCTTCGTCATCGATCTATTTCTTTGTTTTAATCTGATAGATTCCCTTTCTCCTTCTTTATGTATTTCCCTGTTTTTCCTTAGTCTGGATCTATGATTCGCTTAGCTCTTCAATTATATATTTCTATGTTCCTCCTTTGACTTATCCTCTTCTCTTTCCTTATGTATTTCCTTTTTTTCCTTCTCCATATCCTCTCCACTATCCTTGTTTTCCCCCTTTTCTATCATCGTCCCTCCCTGTATGTACGTGCTTGCACATATATAGTGCACTGACGACTTAGACTCTTTCACCAGAGCACTTCTTGGATTTTTTTTTCGCGAAAATGGTTAAACAGTTGTGTAAAAAAAAAAAAAATTATGCGCAGCCTGCGCCCTTATTTAATGATCACGCCATCATCGACTGGTAGCAAGTAAGTATAGTAGAGGGAGGTATAGCGTTGGTGTGGTAGAGATCAAAATAAATAGGTCAGATTCTGGACAAGGTAAACGGCTAAATCTAACAGCTGTTGTTGTTCTTGTCAAAACTTTTTAGTTGGGTTAGTCGGTCAGGAAGGCCAAGTTATATTGATGATTGTTTTTCAACCCGTCGACGTCTGAATGGTGTAGTTCCCATAGGCTTAATACAGGGACCACCCGGTTGCAGTAGGCAAAGGGTTAAATGATAAAACAGTTTATTCAATTGTTATTGTATTGATATTAACAATTTGTGGTAGAAGAGTCATGTGTTCATACAGTCAAACCTTTCGATAGCGAGCGTCCAAGGGAAACACAAAAAGTGGCATGTGTAGACAGGTAGTCTTTATATACAGGTTACTTTAGTACATGATTCAATGAGAAAACATTTCCAAGGGAAACAACAATTGTGGCCTTTGGTCACTAAAGCAGATTAGACTGTAATTCGTCTATTTTACATGCCAGTTGTCGTCATTGTACGTACACTCTTGCTCATAAAGTTGGAATATTTTTGTTTTACCCCAATTTATCGAATTATTTAAAAATAATTTAAAAATAATAGATCTAGATAATAGTATACATTCTCAGATTTTATTTAATAATATTTTGACAATGTGCGTTTTGCGTGAATGCTATAGCATGTGTATGTTACTATGCTTATCAACTAGGGGACCTACGCCCTTAAGTCATAGATGTCAAGTAATGAGGATTAATGCCCCACAAAAGGGCACTAATATAGCACATCGACACGGGGCCTCACAGTTACGAGGCCATTGCTTTGTAACTGAACCATGACTGTACGCAGTGGGGGCTAGGGTAGGAGGCAGTTTCCATAAATAAAATAAAAAACAGAAAATGCAATAAATGTTGAATACTTGATTGCACTTTACCTCGGTCCCCAACATAAACAAATCTTCTTGGCAGCTATGCATTATGGCTCAAGTGGTAGTACGACTATTCTGCATGTGTATTAAATTACAACCCATCCCCTTCTTATGTGTATGGCCGAATTGATGTTCTGCGTTCTGACAAAGCGCCCCCACCCCACCACCACAAATTATATATATATATATATATATATATATATATATATATATATACATATTTATGTAAAACTAGTGCTACGCGGACATTCTGTCGGTATATCCCCGTGCTACGGGGACTTGCCGCGTTACGGGGACTCGTATATGTCCCCGTAACACAATCCCTTTCTGACGGCTCCAATTTTTGGATTTATTGATTGCCCTTTTAAACCAAGTTAGCAGGAGTAAATTGTGATTTAAATCCGCTGGAAATTTTACTGGAAACGCATTTTCCTGTTTTTAAATAAAGTTTACAAAATAGTATTGATCTTCCCAAAGATCATGACGGACTCTCGATTTCAAAGGCAAAAAGCGCCAACTTGCGTTGAAATGTGAACAATCTAGGGTTAGCTGCCTAGGCCATAGGGCTAGCTAGCTAGGGTTAGGAAAACTCTAACATTTTCGTACAGTATTGATTTTCGCCTGATCGAGCGACCAGGATATCCGACTGCGATGCGCGCCTCCTTAGCCGGGCCGGCCAGCCGGGCTGGTCGACTCGCGGCCCGTGAGGGTAGCTAGCTCTAGCTACTACTAGACTGGACGCCAAACGGTGACGTGAATGCATGCACATTTTTGCAGGATCGACATGATTGCTGTCGACGTGGATGTCGAGGCAGCTTACTCGACGAGCTGGACGAAGGCTGGTATGTACTTTACCGGCTGTGTTGTTAGTTTAATCATAGACTAGACGTCTAGGAGGATAAATTAGAACTAGACTCGAGTCTAGGCCTACAAATCTAGTATTGTTAACAATGCATGGCCTCTTTTCCTTTGCCTTTGCTTTTGGCTCTTAGTCTTATGAGTTATTAATATTATTATTTTAGTGTTTTTTTTGTGGTGAATTAGATTTAGAAACGGCCAAACTGAAAGACTGCTGCTGCAGTAAATATGAAAGAGGGGCCATATGAAAGCGATAGATTTGTCGATCTAACTTGCAATTTAAATTCTTTATAGAACTCCATGGCCAGGAAGCTCCGATGCCGACGCCAAAGGCGTCGAAAACAGGAATAGACTACTAAACAATACTAGACTAGATCTAGATCCATCTAGTACTACTACTAGTCTCTAGATCTAGTCTAGCTAAACTTGCAGTTACCGGCGTGTTGCACTAGCCGTTGTAGACAAGCGCGTAGCCAGGATCTAATTTTAGTGAGCACGCGAAGCCTGCGAAACACAGAGCGCGCGTAGCGGCTCCCTAGGGGGTGGGTGCAGCTTTGACGTTTCATTAAATTATTAGAGAAAGAAGACGATTCGTTGGACCGTACTCGACTCTTAATCCTTATCTAAATTCAGTTTCTTTTGACGTTTCATTAGACTTTTAGAGAAAGAAGAAGATTGGTTGTACCGTCCTCAACTCTTAATCCTTGTTTGAATCAAGCTCCCCTTCCTCTGCGCATAGCGCGGAAGCTTTGACGTTTTTAATTAGATTATTAAAGAAAGAACACGATTTGTTGTACCGTTCTCGACTCTTATTAATCCTTTTTCTTCCTACGTCCACTTCCTTTCTTCTTTTTTTCTCTTTTTCTTTTTTTTTTGGCCGGCGTTTTGGGGCGACTGCCCCCCCTGGCTACGCGCATGGTTGTAGAACTAAAAGGTTAACTGCACTAGCAGGCAGTAGTAGCACATACCCGTCTTATACTATTACATTAGGTCTGGATCTATGACTGAGTGCATGCCCCCCCCCCCCCCCTGTACTGTAGACCTGATTTTGCGCATCATGCAATTGATTACAAAATTTGGCCTTGGGCTTGGCTGACACTGTACAACTACAATGTACATGCTTTAAGAAACCATCGTCTGAAATCTGAATACTTGTAGACGCTTTGAAATCAGTGAAAAGCTTTTTGTTCGACCATTGGCACATACAGTACATGTACGTCAGAGTTTGCAAAGCATGTCAGGTAATTTACAAGAACATGGCCACTCCCATCATCTTTTGCCGCCATAAGAATTAGTAAAATGTGGTTATGTTGCTATGTTCACGTAAGGATTTATTGGATCCAGGAGGCCACAATTACCAAGTTATGTATTAAATCAAATGTCTGTTCACCCTCTAAACAATAATAATAATAATAATAATAACCGAAAGCCACAGTTTCATTGCCCTTTAAGGTAAGGTTGATCCAGGCCAGCATCCCATACGTCCCAACACAACATGTAAATCGCTTAAGTTATAACAATTCCATGGACGTGGATATATAGATCTACAGTACCATACAGTAGTACTATACAAATTATGTAATTGGGTGTATATGGCCCCTGATATCTCGGAAACCTAAATCTAAGCTTATACGGGAGTTTGCTTAATTACAATTTGGACCTTGAAAACCCTGGGAATGGAAAAAAGCTAAAATGGCCCATTTTTGAGAAACACGTACCCCTTTGCCAAGCTAAGGCTAGAGAGTTTGGTAAAGGCAAGCGCCCAAAGTAAACGTACATTGTGTGTGCGCCAATTCTTACCTGCATACATTCAAAGCATGGTAGATGCGTACATCCTAGACAATGGACTAGTCTCTATCTGCAGACCCATGAACGATTACTGTAGTATTGTAATGGGTATTCAAATTATACAATTAGTCTGGAAACTGTTTTTTCTGAACTTATTAGTGGAATGGACTGGACTACTAAAACTCATTTGTAAGATTATCGATTACGGGTGGTGTTTCCGTTAAAAGTAGAGACCTGGTATACTGACAAGATTTGACTCAAGTGGTGTGCTACCCTTACAGGTGCACCTGGAAATTGTCAGGTATCGCCCAAAATGACATTTGAGTCTTTCATCCCATGCCAAAATCATTGTTAGATATGTCCGAATGATGTATGAAAGTTTCATTGAAAAAGAACTCTGCTTTCCTGGTTAAAACGGCAATAATTTGTGTCAGATTTTACAACAAATTACTGTATGACGTGTATGCGGTTTATTTGACACATGGTACACATGATTAATTCTTCTCGAAAAACTAAATTGAAATAGAAAGACAGCATTGTAATAGCCAATGAACATGTGTCAAATTAACATCTTGATCTTTCTGTACTGTAAGAGAAACCAGTGCTCATATTAAGATAGCAATGAATGCAGAATGCCATTTTGTGTATTATATTTTTTTGTTATTATGTATGTCTTCTTATTTGATTACTACAGTATTACAAACCTGTGCAGCATTTGATCGAGAGGCTGTTTGAACAACCACATACTAGACCAGCACTTCGACCAGCTTAGCATCAGGATGCATGTCAATGTGAAGAGGCTGTGAAACCTCTCCAAATGCAGGGTAAGATTTTCAAAAATTGTACCCCTCCTTGATTTTGTGAAAACACTGAAATGCATCTTATCATCCTCACATCACTTGGTGCCATACACAGTGACTCGTTTCTCCCAGAATGTCATCGTCTTCAGCAAATTCTTTTATTGTGATGTTAGGAAGGCCGATCGACTAGGACTTTCCAGGCCGCGTATTATTTTTTCGTACCCCAGCGAGCCCAGATTCCGGTATGAACTGTTCACCTATTCACCTATTCACCTATTGTTAGATATGTCCGTATGATGTGTGAAAGTTTGATTGAAAAAGAACTCTGCTTTCCTGGTTAATACAGCAATAATTTGTGTCAGATTTTACAACAAATTACTGTATGACGTGTATACGGTTTATTTGACACATGGTTACACTTGATTAATTCTTCTAGAAAAACTAAAATTCAGTGTAATAGCCAATGAACATGTGTCAAATTAACTTCTTGATCTTTCCGTGCTGTAAGAGAAACCAGTGCTCATATTATGATAGCAATGAATGCAGAATGCCATTTTGTGTATATATTTTTGTGTTATTATGTATAAATGTCTTCTTATTTCTTTACTACAGTAACAAACCTGTGCAGCATTTGATCGAGAGGCTGTTTGAACAACCACATACTAGACCAGCACTTCGACCAGCTTAGCATCAAGATGCATGCCAATGTGAAGAGGCTGTGAAACCTCTCCAAATGCAGGGTAAGATTTTCAAAAATTGTACCCCTCCTTGATTTTGTGAAAACACTGAAATGCATCTTATCATCCTCACATCACTTGGTGCCATACACAGTGATTTGTTTCTCCCAGAATGTCATCATTTTCAGCATATTCTTTAATTGTGATGTTAGGAAGGCCAATCGGCTAGGTCGTTTCAGGCCGGGTCTTATTTTTTCGTACCCTAGCGAGCCCTGATTCCAGTATGAACTCATTTTCATACATAAAAAGAGGTCATAAGTAAAAATTGGACTTCGATTATTTAATGCTTTGCCCCACTATTTATAAAGGCAAAAAACTGAATAAACTGAGATTCGAACCCTCACGTCAAATCCAAGGTCCTATTAGTAACACGCTGTCCTTACCGATTGAGCTGACGATGAGTTGATGACAGATTGATTTGTGGGATATGTATGAAAAAAATATTAGTCTTAAACATATTATCAAATACTTCAGGGAGGATACCCCTATGAAATTTAAACATAACAATTAATATATTTAGTTTTACCAGATGAAACAAGGAAAGAGTTTTTAACTTTACAAAAAGGGGAAGTGAGTGGGTATCAAATTTACTGTTTGATATTATACGTATGGCACGTTTCTGGAGCAAGAATCATTTTTTATGAGCTTTGTATGTATTTCCCCATATTTCATTGCAATAATTTAAATGTGTTAATATAATCGTGTTATAAATATAAAACAATATCTTGAGATGTAAAAAGTTTTTTAATTTTATACAACTCACCTATACTTCTTGATAGCTTAGAGGAAATATATGTTTATGATAGCAATGCATAAATGCAGAACGCCATTTTGTGTATGTTTTGTTATTTTTGTATTATTGTCTTCTTATATGTATTTGTTTACTACAGTACCATACCTGTGCAGCATTTGATCGAGAGGCAGTTTGAACAACCACATACTAGACCAGCACTTAGACCAGCTTAGCATCAGGATGCATGTCAATGTGAAGAGGCTGTGAAACATCCTTTAATGCTGGGTAAGATTTTGCCAGATATACAGTATCTCAACACATGTGTCGGGACCCTTGAGAGATTTTGTCCCATGAAGAGTCTTGTGATATCTTAGAGCACCTGTTGATGGATCAATTTGTAACTTGGTATGTTTCCACATTGTGGGTGACAATGATATGATTGATATTCGGATCATGGAATAAAAGGTCACAAGGCTTTATGATAACTGCTAAGGTGTACAATATCATAAGAACCAGTTGACACATATTACCAGTAATATGTGTATCTTTTGGATTTTGGAGGCCTTTAGATAAAATGTCACAGGGCTTATATATATTTACAAACATATTGTTTTACTGTGATCACATTATTTAGACAAAATAGCATCAAGTTTTGTACCTGTATGTCTCTTAAGGGGAAAATATTTGGTCAGTTTTGGGGGACACGAGTCTAAAAGATCAAGGTCATATGACTGCCGGTATATTATAAATACATGCTAAAACTGTTTATAATGGCAAAATCTCAAGAACTAAATATCAGATTTCAATCAAACTTGGTACCTGAATGTATCTTAGAGGACTTATGTAGCCGTACCATTTTGGGGTCATGAGGTAAAAGTTCAAGGTCACAGAATTTATAGATGCGAAATGGCCTTTAATTGTAAAAACTCAAGAAATGAATGTCAGATTTTAATCACACCTGGTACCTGAATTTTATGAAGCCAATGTAGTGGTACAATCTTGGGGTTATGAGGTCAAAGGTCAAGGTCACAGGAATCATTCTAAAATAGCTTGAAATTGTGATTTCTCAGGATCTGGTTGATGAATTACCATCAAAGTCGAGTTTACAGATTAATTTAGTGCATGTTAATTTTGGCTTGATAGCGGAGTCATCATTTTCAACTGAAGATGATCTCTTGCTCCTCAACCCCTTACGATTCTTAGGATTAAATTAATATCGGCCTTACCTTTCCCAGTTTGCATATATGTTTTTGTTGTTGATAGAGTGCTTATCAGGGTCAATCCTTTTCGTCTAAAAGACAAATTGGAATATTAGTCCCAACCATTTTTATTATCTTTATGCATTGATAATTGCCACTGATATGCCCATTTTCTTTCTTTTGTCCTATATATATAATTATATATAGGTATCGATGGATATAGGGTCTACCACACAGTTTATCACCCCAATGCATCAGAGAAAGGACATCAATACTGAAGTGGGTATGCAAATGGATTCCATCTATTCGAAACCATGAAAGAACCTGCTATGGCACAACCAGTAATGATGTTTCCCTCAAGCGGAAAGCAGTAGAGTGGACTTTCGTTTGATTAGTCGCCACTAGCACCACATAATTCATGTACATACAGCAGGGGTGTGAATGATCCTAACAGACAGCCATTACCAACATGATCAAGGCCAAATTGAATGTTATTGAAATGTATGTTTTCCATAAGTTTCAGTAAATGGAAAGCATTGTCACTTTTTGTTTAAATTCCTATCGCTTAAAGAGGTAGTTCAGTTTTGGTAAAGAGGGTGCTACACAAAATAATTTGTTTGTGAGATAATGAAAACCAAGTGTAAAATGTAAAATATTTCCAGTCTGAATAAATTTGGGCCCCAAATTTATAAGATGATTTTTCTAAAAATTAATAAAATGCTTACACTTTTCAAACATTTTCAAAAGAGGTTTTTAAATAGTTGTTGATGATTTCTTTATATCATCATTATTTCAACACAACATCACGAGCATAACTTTGTATGAAAAATGGTTCAAACCAATGTTTTTTTTAGAGCGCCTTCTTGTGTTTCAATGGCTCTTTTTGAATGATGACAGGTTTTTTTTCTTCCATAGTCTTCGTAATTTTCTATAACCTTCAAGCATGGTGAAATAATAACTATTAGATTGTAGTGTTGTTGTTTTATGGTAACTAAAGCTTAGCTCTACCAAAATTGTACTACCCCTCTCAAGGGAATGTCCACCATTTAAATCGTCTGAATATTTTCTCGTAGATGGATGGGGACGAATTCAATATTCAAATAAAATGTCAGGTCGAACACCTGTTATTTGGATTCTACAAATGAAAAACGTGTGTGTAGATATCATCCCTTCCTCAAAATACACAGCAGCCATTAAATGTGTTTAATTTGATTTAGCATAATGTTACTACAATGTTGGAGTTTTGACATAATTGTATGGACAACATTTCTTTCAGGTTTGACACGAACAAGTTCTCGAAAATTGACAATGAAAATTACATATTAGCTATAAGTTTTATGAGTCCTAGTTATTTTGTTTAGTATTTGCTTGCACCATTGTTCTATCACAATCTGTGTGCAGTTCATTTGGTGATTGACCTGTGGAGATAAAAACAGTTCCTGTTGAAAACTCCTGTTTCACGTTTGACACATGTATGGCATGTCGTGCACCAAATTGCACCATGTCAAGTATATATGCAAAATCTTCCTTACCGTGGGAGGGAGATAACCCCCTCCCAAACCCTCCCCCTCCCCCCCCCCCCCCCCCCCAATCTGGCTCTGCCCCAGCCCTATGTTGCTTCGCTCCCTCAGGCCTCATTCTTGGCTCAAAGTTGGCAACCCTGGTACTGCATGTGTATTGAATTGAATTGATCACTCCTTGAAAATGTTTGTATATATATATATATATGTTCAATATGTCAGAATAAAAATGTAGTACAAACACATAGTTTAATCTTTACCGGGTAATTGTAATTAGTGAACCATATTTCAGTGTTTTCGATATACATTTGTCAATATATAATACCAACAAAGTACAAACTCATACAACATAGGGCAAGACTAACTTTACATATTCAGCAATCATTATGTTTAATGTCCAGCTTTTTGCAATGATCTAGCTAAACATACAACGTTCTTGTTCACAGTTGTTATGCCTCCGCCAACACTAGAACTCATAGTAAGGCATTTTATCATGGATGGAGTTAATATCATAGGCTTATTAGTACTTACATACTCGTAAACTAACCAGATAAACATTGATGCGTGTATTTGAAAATCAAACTTTAGTTCATGTAAACATACAAAATAAACCTTTTTATATTAAATTCAGCACATTCATATTCTCTACTTTGGTTTATTATGACTAACATGTCAGCATGATGAAATATGAAGGATGATTATGATGGTGATGATAATGATGATGGTGACCGTGATGCAATGATGATGAGGATGAAGATGGTGGTGGTGATGAGGAAGAATATGATGGTGATGGTGAGGATGATGAAGATGGTGACCATGATGAGGATGAAGTTGATGTTGATCCGACCTTTCCCAGCTAGGCTAGCTGAAAAGGTAACTTTGTGAAACGAATTGGAACTTGTTATTTATATCTGAAGGGCAAACGAATGACTGTGCCAAACTTTTTAAGTGGTGGGGTGTAGCCGCCAGACGCCCCCAAAGACCCACATTTTCCAGCTAGGCTAGACTAGCTAGAGACGTAACCTCGTGAAACCAATTGGAACTTGTTATATATATTCAACATTATCATGCGTATACGTATTGAGCATTAAATTAAAACTATGTATAAATATGTCTGAAAATATGAGATATTGGGGGTTTCTAGCTGAAAGGGCATATAGTGGCTAATCGCGTTTATGGAGACTGACATCGGCGCGAGCGTCAGCCGATGTCAGTCTCCTTAAACGCGATTAGTGCACTTGCCATAGAGCTCGACGCATATCAGATAGGCTACAATAATTATTGCTGCTCTCAGGTGTATAAATGGGGAACCGGTAGAAGGTGAAAGCCTTTATGTGAACGATCTTCTCAATGCCCATGAGCCGCTTGGAAGGATTGCTCCCCAGGGAGTTGAGATGGTGCACACAATGTGTGCTGGTTTGCGTTGTTTTCTATGACCGGGCTAATAATATCATTGTAAAGCACGTATCATCCATATTAGGCGCTATATAAATCGAAACATAACTTTTAATCATAACTTATTATAGTTAACAAATATTGGTTTTAGTTATTATTACAATGCCTAGGTTATTTTAGCACTATGCAACTCCGAAACAAGAGGGCACTGTTGTAACCAGTATTAGACAGGGCTATGGGGACAATATTTGTATATATATGATTACTATTTCATTTGTGACCATGAACGTCGATCAAGGGGGTCATCTGACCGACTTCCTGTACTAGTATATTCAGGATTTTGCGCTATATGCACATTCATGTGCATGTGGCTTGTCAAGATTGGTAAAGCGCATGCTTTCTGATAATAGGATCCCGAGTTCCAACCCTTCCCACTGCCTTTTTGACCTTCATCAAAGCAATTTATTATTATTGATGCTTTATACTCGGGTGTATAAATGAATACACTGTAGAAGGTAAGACCCCTCATGTACAAGATCTTCTCAATGCCCATGAGCCGCTTAGGAGGATTGCTCCCCAGGGAGTTGAGATGGTGCACACAATGTGCGCTGGCTTGCATTGTTTCCTATCACCGGGCTAATAATATCATTGTAAAGCGCTAATCATCCAAAATTGGCGCTATATAACTCGAAATATAACTTTTAATCATAACTTATTGTAGTTATTATAGTTAACTGATATTGGCTTTAGTAATTATTACAATGCCTACGTTATTTAAGCACTTTGCAACTCCGAAACAAGAGGACACTGTAGTAACCACGATTAGACAGGGCTATGGGGACATTATTTGTATATATATGAATAGTATTTTATTTGTGATCATGAACGTCGATCAAGGGGGTCACCTGTCCGACTTCCTGTACAAGTATATACAGGAATTCGCGCTATATGCACATTCATGTGCATGTGGCTTGTCAAGATTGGTAGAGCGCATGCTTTCTGATAATAGGATCCCGAGTTCGAACCTTTCCCACTGCCTTTTTGACCTTCATCAAAGCAATTTATCCACAAGTATTGATGCTTTATACTCGGGCGATAAATGAATACCCTGTAGGAGGTAAGACCCCTCATGTACAAGATCTTCTCAATGCCCATGAGTCGCTTAGGAGGATTGCTCCCCAGGGAGTTGAGATGGTGCACACAATGTGCGCTGGCTTGCATTGTTTCCTATCACCGGGCTAATAATATCATTGTAAAGCGCTAATCATCCAAAATTGGCGCTATATAACTCGAAATATAACTTTTAATCATAACTTATTATAGTTATTATAGTTAACTGATATTGGCTTTAGTAATTATTACAATGCCTACGTTATTTAAGCACTTTGCAACTCCGAAACAAGAGGACACTGTAGTAACCACGATTAGACAGGGCTATGGGGACATTATTTGTATATATATGATTAGTATTTTATTTGTGATCATGAACGTCGATCAAGGGGGTCATCTGTCCGACCGTCCTGTACAAGTATATACAGGAATTCGCGCTATATGCACATTCATGTGCATGTGGCTTTTCAAGATTGGTAGAGCGCATGCTTTCCGATAATAGGATCCCGAGTTCGAACCTTTCCCACTGCCTTTTTTTGTCCTTCATCAAAGCAATTTATCCACAATTATTATAGATGCTTTATACTCGGGTGTATAAATGAATACCCTGTAGGAGGTAAGACGCCTCATGTACAAGATCTTCTCAATGCCCATGAGCCGCTTAGGAGGATTGCTCCCCAGGGAGTTGAGATGGTGCACACAATGTGCGCTGGCTTGCATTGTTTCCTATGACCGGGCTAATAATATCATTGTAAAGCGCTCATCATTCAAAATTGGCGCTATATAACTAGAAATATAACTTTTAATTATAACTTATTATAGTTATTATAGTTAACTAATATTGGCTTTAGTAATAATACAATGCCTACGTTATTTAAGTACTTTGCAACTCCGAAACAAGAGGACACTGTAGTAACCACTATTAGACAGGGCTATGGGGACATGATTAGTATTTTATTTGTGATCATGAACGTCGATCAAGGGGGTCATTCTGTCCGACTTCCTGTACAAGTATATACAGGAATTCGCGCTATATGCACATTCATGTGCATGTGGCTTTTCAAGATTGGTAGAGCGCATGCTTTCCGATAATAGGATCCCGAGTTCGAACCTTTCCCACTGCCTTTTTGACCTTCATCAAAGCAATTTATCCACAATTATTGATGCTTTATACTCGGGTGTATATTAAATGAATACCCTGTAGGAGGTAAGACCCCTCATGTACAAGATCTTCTCAATGCCCATGAGCCGCTTAGGAGGATTGCTCCCCAGGGAGTTGAGATGGTGCACACAATGTGCGCTGGCTTGCATTGTTTCCTATGACCGGGCTAATAATATCATTGTAAAGCGCTAATCATCCAAAATTGGCGCTATATAACTCGAAATATAACTATTAATCATAACTTATTATACTTATTATAGTTAACTAATACTGGCTTTAGTAATAATACAATGCCTACGTTATTTAAGTACTTTGCAACTCCGAAACAAGAGGACACTGTAGTAACCACTATTAGACAGGGCTATGGGGACATGATTAGTATTTTATTTGTGATCATGAACGTCGATCAAGGGGGTCATTCTGTCCGACTTCCTGTACAAGTATATACAGGAATTCGCGCTATATGCACATTCATGTGCATGTGGCTTTTCAAGATTGGTAGAGCGCATGCTTTCCGATAATAGGATCCCGAGTTCGAACCTTTCCCACTGCCTTTTTGACCTTCATCAAAGCAATTTATCCACAATTATTGATGCTTTATACTCGGGTGTATATTAAATAAATACCCTGTAGGAGGTAAGACCCCTCATGTACAAGATCTTCTCAATGCCCATGAGCCGCTTAGGAGGATTGCTCCCCAGGGAGTTGAGATGGTGCACACAATGTGCGCTGGCTTGCATTGTTTCCTATGACCGGGCTAATAATATCATTGTAAAGCGCTAATCATCCAAAATTGGCGCTATATAACTCGAAATATAACTATTAATCATAACTTATTATAGTTATTATAGTTAACTGATATTGGCTTTAGTAATTATTACAATGCCTACGTTATTTAAGCACTTTGCAACTCCGAAACAAGAGGACACTGTAGTAACCACGATTAGACAGGGCTATGGGGACATTATTTGTGTATATAATTATGAA